GGGTCTGCCCTCCCCCCCCCAGATTCCCCCAGCCGGCCATGCAGGCTGGAGAATTCTGGGAGTTGAAGTCCAGACATCGTAAAGTTGCCGAGGTTAAAAAGCACTGCTCTAGATCAGTAATGTATTCATTTTCTGACTTTTGTCAATGTGCCACATTTACATGAAGCATTAAAACACTGCTAACAAGCTAGTGTGAATTTAGCCTCCCAGACTTACATATTGTGCAAACCCAGCTATTAATTATAACAGCGCCCCTAAAATAATCTCAACCCAGTGAAGAAAACAAGAAAAAAATTACTTTTCTCATTCAGCCAAAGGCTGATAAAACTTCAACCTAAGTCCCCCATTACCTATTGGTGTGGGTGCAGATAAGCACACGAGTTTGGGGCTTCTTGATGATCTCCAGCGTAGCCTTGGCCAACGTGAAGGTCTTCCCTGTCCCAAATGGTCCATAGATCAAAAGTGGAGGTACTCTACGGAAATCAGTCACCTGGCCAGTGATGAAGGAAAGAGCTTGCTTCTGCTTTGCATTGCCCCATGACACCAGCAAAGATCCACAAGGCCGTGGGATGGAGCAGGTGGACACATCTGGAAAGACCAGCTTCACATCCCATAACTTGTCCACTGTCTGGTGCCATTGACAAAACTGGAGCTGGTTGATTTGGAACTGGACTTCCACCTTGGCAGACATGCCTCCTTGGAGGCCCAGTTCAACGCAGCAACGCTGGGGCAGGAGAAGGGAAATACTGCTTTCAGTGATGGCTTCTTTCTCGACAGACACCTCATAAACTCGGTTGTTGGCAGGTGGGTCCAAGGCCAGGAAAGCTGTTTGGACTGACCGTTGAAGCAGGTACCCTTCATCTGAGTCTACGGTTAATGTGTAAGGGGTCAGGATGTGGGCATAAAGCTGTCCCAAGGGAGCATACTTGATCTCCGATGTAAAGAGTTCCACGTTCTGTCCAAAGGAGACAACTGCTTGCAAGTTGAGCCTGGTCGGAACAAGGAGAAGATCAGTCATGGGGAAAAGGAGCAGAAGAACGTAGGGGAAAGAGGAGAAGACAAGGCAACGGAGACAACGAACCACTCTGCCCATATTCCCCCTGCAATCTCCTCACCCTCCAAGCCAAATTATTTTGGATTGCAGCTTCCGAAATGGATGGGCATTCTGGGACTTACTCATGTTTTACTCTCCTTGGCCTGGGGTCTTCCAGGGATGTTTGACCACAGCTCCCATTATCCCCAGCCTAAAGGCCTGCGAGAGGTTTTGGGGAGGCTGGGCAAGGGGAAGTTAATGCAAACAATCAAGAGACAGAAGGAGGTTCCGTTGGCAGCTCTCTCCAGCAATTCAGCCCAGGTGGCCCAAAAGCTGGAAAGAAGTGTTTCGAGTCACGTAAAGAGATTCTGCCTTAAAAAAAACTTGATCTAACTGAGGTGGGCAAATTCCTCTCACAGTTTCCAAGATCCCTTACTGAAATCTGCATGGTTCTTGCTTCCTTGATCTTGCCCAGGTGGATGAAGCTTGGTAATGCCTTACAGGTAGTCCTTGGGTTACGATGGTAATTGGGACCAGAATTTCCATCACTAAGCAATGCGGTTGTAAAGTGCAATGACACGTGACCACATCACTTAGTGACGGCAATCCCGGCAGTCCCTGTTGCCCTTGTTAAGTGAGGATCTCACGTGACCGTGACTTTCGACTTCCTGCCAGCTTCCAACAAGCAAAGTCAATGGGGAAGCTGGCAGGAAGTCGCAAGTCCCAGGTGGCTCATAAGCAGGCCAGCGGGCGAGTGAGTGCTATGGGGTGCAGGTGGGTGGGGGGAGAACTGCAGCGCCTTGCAAGTGCATGGTGGGAGAGAGTGCTGTGGCACTATACGAGCACAGGCAGGCAGGCGCTACGGAGTGCAGGTGGGGGGTGCTGTGGGTGGACATGTACTATGGAGTACGAGATCCCTGTGATCTGGCAGGCTGCTCAGAAGAAAAATCAGTGGAAGTGATTTACAGGAGTGACTTGTGACCTCCCCTGCCAGCTTCCCCATTGACTTTGCTTGTGGGAAGCCGGGAGGGAAGGTCACAAATGGTGATCATGTGACCATGGGACATTGCAACCGTCATATGCGTAAGCCGGTTGCCGACCATACAAATTGCTATCACATGACCGTGGGGATGATGCAACGGTCAGAACTCCAAGGACCAGTCATAAGTACCACTCATTCAGCACCATCACCACTTTGGTCACCGAACAAAGACTGTTAACCAAAGATTGCCTATATATATTGGGGATGGGGGAATATGACAAATATTATCTATGCATCACAATGGTGGAGGGGCCCCACTCTGAGATACAGAAGCTGGGAGTTGGGTGGCCTATCAATTTAATTTATTATGGTTGGTCACAGAGTCAGCCAGATGTTTAGACTGGGTTTGGCATT